AAGAGCGTCCTCTGAGACTGAGCATCACCCTGGTCTTTGCAACTATATGTTCCCTGGAAGAGGATCTGAGCACGGCCACTTGCAGGAGCCCAGTATGGTGCTCAAGGAGTGCACGAGGGCTGCAAGGAATTAAAGGGGGATGCCCTTGCCTCGTCGCAGGGCTGGAAGGGCCCACACACCCTCCGATTCTACAGTGTTGACTATCAGAACTTAGAAGGAGACTTTTCTTTTGTCGAGAGCCTATGACCAGCTGATCCATATACCTGCACCAAGGAGGACCCAGGGCCCTTTCTGCACATCTCTCTGGGGGCGGGAAGGGCTCACTCATTCATCAGAAAAACCCAGAGAGCCTCTCATCTTGACTCACGTTGTCGAAGAAGACCCTGCACTGCTCGGAGATGGTGTCGAAGGAGGACCCCATGTCCCCTTCTCGGAGCTCAGCCAGGATTTTGGTCAGGGCCTCCATGCCCTCGGCCATCACACTGGTGCTCACGGGCCCCCCCAGGGAGCTCAGGCACTTCTCCAGCAAGAGCTTCCGGTACTGCTTCACCTGGAGGGGCACGGGCAGCCTCAGCCTCCACCCTCGCTCCCTGGCTGCCTGCAGCCTGCAGGGGACCCGGGCCCTGGGCCGTCACGGTACCTTTCTGGGGGCGCCCAGAGCCATGTTGCCGAGGGCACGCAGCGAGAGCACACGCAGGGCCTCGTCTTCCTCCTGGCTCGCGCCCTTCTCCAGCATCAACACCGCAGGTCTCAGCAGCTTCTCCTGGTACAGAACCGGGTCACTCATGAGCTGGAAAGGAGAACATTCCACAGCTATCCCCGGTCACTGAGAACAGACACAACGCAGAGAGCGGGAGGGGACGGTCCCAAGTGCCTCAGTGTCCTCTCTGTAAAGGTGATGGTCCTGCACCTGCATCAGGGATGTGGGGGATTCCCTAAGGAAGTGTGGGAGAAGTGCTGGGTGGCGCCTGGAGAGATGCGTGCGCACTCTCGCTTATTTCTTCAGTGAGCGCGTGGGGCAGTGGCCGCAAACAAGGCCTACGCCCACCGTGTCTGCATGGAAACGCACGAGAGGCAAGAACTTCACTCATGGGAGACTCTATTGGCCTAGCAGTCGGAGTGCTAAGCGCTCAGGCCAGTGATGCTCCCTTGAAAATCATGCCAGGCACGTGTACATGCATGCCCAAAAATGGAGGAAGGAGGAAAGGGATTGTGGCATGGCCATTCCCCCGCCCAGGGCGATTTCTCACTTTTCCTCTCTCTCTCTCTCTCTCTCTCTGTCCCTGTCTCTCTCCAGGGAGTGCACACACCCTATAACAAAACAAAACAAAAAGAAAGAAAGAAAGAAAAGAAAAGAAAGAAAAGAAAAGAAAAGAAAAGAAAAGAAAAGAAAAGAAAAGAAAAGAAAAGAAAAGAAAAGAAAAAAGAAAAGAGCAAATTGGTGACTCCAGGGGCAGGAGAAGTGAACCCCCGCCTCTCCAGCTCCCTAACCGCATTAGGCTTGGCCGTTGTAACCTCCTAGGGCTCTGTTTCTGCTGGCAAGTACACACTCCCTATGACCAAAACCAAACCAAAAACAAACAAACACAAAAAGCTGGACCTAATTTCTGATAGGCGGATGAGCTAGCGTGTAGCGAGCACACAGGAAGCCATGTGTCCCTCACCTCATTTCATTCTCACCAAGCCCCAGAGAGTGGGCATTGCTGTCCTCCGCCCAGCAGAGGCGGCAGTGAAAGCACAGGGACCACAGACTTGGGCACACGCGGCTGCTCCGGAGGAGCCGGGGCCCTAACTGGGCCACCTAATTCAGCTCCTGGGCCTGGCCTCTGCACAGTGCTGGCTTCTAGACACAGAGCCGTAAACCAAGACGTCACAGGGGCCTGTTCCTAGTGGGTTGATGAAGAGCCTCTCTTCCCACCTTCATCCCGAGGGTTACAGAGACGGTGTGAAGAGGGCAGAAGCCCAGGACTGGGAGAAGTTGGTGAGCCTTCGGCTGATCTTGCACTAAGCTGGAAGTCTGTTTGTTTTGCTTTAAGGCGGGATATTTTGTGTGACTCCTCGTCAAGAATTGTTTTTGCATTTTTAAATAGCAGGGAGAAAAGTTCTAAAGACCATTTTATGACACATAAGATGATAGGAAGTTTGAAACAGTGTTCGCCCATCTGGTTTTGTTGGATCTGGTTCTGTGGGAGCCCCGTCATGCCCACCAGCCTGGGTACTTATATGACAGCGGCTTCTCACCCTCTGCACTGCCTGAGTCACAAGGTCTGAAGTCTTTATTTACCCATGGCCCTTTCCAGGAAAAGGCTGCTGCCCTGACCCGGCAGCTGTCTGGTTCTTCTGGCACATTGGGCATCGCAGGGCTGATACAATTTGCCCCACAAGTGTTCTGGCCAATTCCCTTGGGAGCCCATAAAGCCTCCAACCCACCCTATGACAGGGTCGTGGTCCCTTGGCACAGCACTGCTGGCCTCTAGGAGCCCCAGAGCCTGCAGCACAGTGCCCAGGCACCCTCCTCCCACCACCAACTGCTGGCACTTGCCTGGCCACACTGATCACCAGCTGCTACACCTCAAGGCCAGGCTGCGACTCGGCCTCCGTCACCTCTGGACCCTGAATTACTCACGTGGTGAATGCATGCGCGAGTTAGGGGGTGGACGGACGCATGGAGGAGGGAGCTAGGTACCCAGCTCAGAGGTCTCTCAGAGACAGGGTGCCTGCTCAGAGTTCAGCCACCCCCAGCAGAGCCCAGGACACCAGCCTGCCTCACTCCCACCACGCCATGGCCAGTGCCTCACTTCCACGCAGACTGCCGTGCTGCTGATGCGACAGCTCAGGACCTCCGAATCCATGCCCCTGAGCACCAGCTCCGCCAGCCTCTGCCGGTGGCCCTCCATGTCCTGCACGCACAGCCTGCAAGGGGGTGGAGAGGCACGCTGCTCCTGTCAGGTTTGCACGTCACAGGGCAGAGCCAACATCTCTGGGCCCTGGGAGGCTTGGCCAGGGTTGTCAGTGACTTGGATATACACTTTCCATCTTCTCCTTATGAAGGAGAACTAAGATGAGGGCTGCTGGGGTGTGACAGAACCTGGGGAGTAACTTCCA